GGGGCGTTCTTTAGCTAGTGACTAGAGGTTTCTGTAACTAGTGTCGTTGTATAATGAATACCAATCATGTTAACCAATATCACTTGTATACTTTATGGAAAATAAGACTATCAGTTATCCATTGTCAATAATAGAACAATTACTGGAGACGGTGGAAGACGTAAAGTGGTCTGAGGTAATCAGTCCCTCAGTCTTGATACAAGGTGGCGTTCGTCAGAGTGGGATACCTTAGTGTGTTAGCGAGTGTCCACTGCCTAATAGGGGGTGGGAGTCTGGCAGACACTTGGTAGTACATGTCTACAGTGGGTGTCAGGGGAGTGGTGCTGCCTTCCCTGCCTAACACCTCGTGTTGTACCCGCTACACTGACACTTTTATTACTGCTTAAGATATAATGTTGCTGTGTTTTGTCTTGTGGGAGGCTGCTGCTGTTGTTACTACTGCTGCTGCTGGTGCTGCTGCTGTTATTCTTCATGGCAGTGACAGCCACTACGGCTGTTGCTACTGTTAGTGTTATCTATGACATTGGCATTGATACAGCAGCCGTTGCTACTGGTGCTGCTGCTGTATTATGACATCTGTGGGCGGGGCGGGGATGGGCGGCGGGGCGGGGATGGGCGGCCGGGCGGGGATGGGCGGCGGGGCGGGGATAGGCGGCCGGGCGGGGATGGGCGGCCGGGCGGGGATGGGCGGCCGGGCGGGGATGGGCGGCCGGGCGGGATGGGTGGTGGGGCGGGGAGGGATCTGAGGGGAAGTAGGGGCGGGTTTTTCTTGTAGTTATTCGCAGAAAAACACAAGTGAAAACTGATACATGTAACCGGCTCTTTGACTAGCTTTATGACTTATTTTTTCTTCCCCCTCCTCTTCTTCTTCTCCTCCATCACCCACCTGCACAACACAAACAATTATCTCAACTTGTAGGTATTACATTTAATGTGTTGATCTATCAAGAGTAACGAGGGTGATAGAAGTGTAACTGGCCGGCTAAGTGAATAATATCCGGATAACTGGTGCTGGCCCATAAATAATGTTCGGATAAAAAGGAAGGGTCCATATAAAAGCTATCTTCCTACCTCAGTTCATTTACAGGATAAGAACATTGAAATAAACACCGCACTGGTCCATGCTAGGCAGGTTCAGCTCACACTCTCTTAGGTAACCCAACCTATTTTTAAAGTTGCCCAAAGTTTTTGCATCAGTGGCACTACCTGGGACTTTATTCCATTCATCTGCAATTATTGCCAAACCAGTACTTCCCTATATCCTTTCTAAATGTAAATTTGTCCAACTTGAACCATTTCAGCGAGTTCTGTTTTGGTTAGATCATTAGCACACTCAGCTCACACACTGAGGTCCGGAGTTCGAATCTCCGGTACGGCTGGAAAACATTAGGGACGTGTTTCCATAAGACACCTGCTGTCCCTGTTCACCCATCAGTATAAAATGGGTACCTGGGTGTTAGTGGACTGGTGTGGGTCGCATCCTGGGAGAAAATGATCTAATTTGCCCGAAATGCTCAGCATAACAAGCTATGGTCTGTATACCTTGTACAAGTAGTTATAGAAATAAAGATATTATTATTATATTATTATTAGAGAATTCATTATCACTAACGAGTTGTGCATCTTGTTAAGCATATCTGGCACTTATCTGAGCACCATCATCAGAACGGCTTGTTCACAGGCATGGTATATACCTTGTATGAGCACAGCCTTCCAAACATTCATTTGCATAAATATGTGAGCTGGTGGATATGTTGAGTGGCAGAGATAATCAAGTTGAGGAGTTATGTTGAATTATGATTGTGTTGTCATCACACACACGATCCATACATAGGTTTACAAAGAGGTACGATAAAGCTCTTAAAGTAGGGGGATAGTGGACCTAGTAATGACCAGCGACGAGGCGAGACCAGGAGCTGTGAAGCAACCCCTGCAACTACATATAGGTGATTATACACACGGTACACTAATGGCTGTGTTGTGATAGCTTATATATGTGATGGCAGTGTTGAGGTGAGTTATTCCTGATTCAGTGGTGATGACAAAGGTGGGGGACTTCTGAGAGCAAGTGTCTCCTGGTAGTCGAACAAGTCATGTATTAATTACTCTACAGCAGTGTGGCGGATTTGTTCTTCAGCTCTGACAATTATTTATTTTTTTATACGGTAGCTAAAAAGTTGTTGATTAACAGAAGTGCATTTATGTCCTGTCTGTAATGCTGTATTGACATTCCTTGTATTAGGAGGTGTTCTGGGATATGAACTGGCCCAGTGGCCTGGTGGCTGAAGCTCCCGCTTCACACACGGAGGGGTCGGGTTCGATTCCCGGCGGGTGGAAACATTTCGACACGTTTCCTTACACCTGTTGTCCTGTTCACCTAGCAGCAAATAGGTACCTGGGTGTTAGTCGACTGGTGTGGGTCGCATCCTGGGGGACAAGATTGAGGACCCCAATGGAAATAAGTTAGACAGTCCTCGATGACGCACTGACTTTCTTGGGTTATCCTGGGTGGCTAACTCTCCGGGGTTAAAAATCCGAACGAAATCTTATCTTATCTTTTACTTGTCCCACCGTACTAACATTAACTAAATCCTCACAGCACAGGTCTGGTGCTATGTAGCTGTTACCATGATTCTTATCTTGATGCATAAGTGAGGGTTTGTCTTGGTGTTTGGGTCATTTGTTTAATCTGTTTAGGGTAATTTGGAGACTAGTACCTGCTCGTTCCTAGTGACTAATTTGGCATCTTAGTCTGCAGCTTTGTTTCCTTGGTTATCAACGTTACTGGGTGTGTAATTATACTTTCCAGTACAATAAGGGTCTGTAAGATGCTCAAGATATACAGATGGTGATTCTTTGTCCTGTGGTTGGGTCGTTGAGAGAGGAATGTTGTATGAAGAAATGTGTTTCCGAGGATGTAAAGCTTGAGTTAGTGCTTGCTGGAGTGACACTCAACTTGCAGGAGGAGGTGAAGGAGTAGGATATGGGAGAGGAGTAGAATATGGAAGAGGAGAATGGAGAGGAGGAGAAAAAGGTGAATGAGTAGGCTATGGAGGAGGAAAATGAGATGAAGGAGTAGAATATGGAAGAGAGGGGGGAAGGAGGAAAAAGAAGGGGAACAAGTAGGCTATAAAGGAGGAGAAGGGAGAAGGAGGCAACAGGAGGGAGAAAGTGGTGCAGGTGAGGATGACTCAGAGGCGTCATGCAGGAGGGAAGGTGTTCTTATGCTCCAGGCTGGTCTATCTCTGCTTGCATGATACTGTGTGTGTGTGTGTGCATGCTTGCCTATTTCTGGTTGTAGGGGTCGAGTCTCAGCATGACCCCTGGACAACTCTAAGACAAAAGAAGCATTTCCTAACATTCCTGCGGCTCATTTGCATTTTAAACTTCCAACTGTGACCTTGTGTATCTGAGACCCACCTCTCAATATTTTGTATAATATAATTATGTTCCTCTGTCCTCTAATGTCATCAGGTTGAACTCCTTTAACCTCTCCTCATAACTCATAACTTTTAGCACTAGGACTAGTTTCATTGCAAGCCTTCACACTTTTTCCAGTTTTTTTATAATTATCACAGGGAGCGCCAAACCCAGTGGGATTATACCGTGCATGTGGGGGGTGGGTAATGGAAGGCATTCAAGCTTTATTCAGGAAATTGAAGCACAGATCCAATTTGCTAGATCAAGATATATAATTATAATTATGGAAGGAGCGCTAAACCCATAGGATTATACAGCGCATGTGTGGGGGGGGATGGAAGGTATTCAGGCTCAATTCATAGAACTGGAGCATAGATCCAATTCCCTAGATCAAGAGCCCCCCCCACCAGCATAAAGGAACCTCCTTGAAGAAGGCTTCTTGACAGTTATATTAAAAAAGAAGAGCTAAACATACAGGCATCTTGACAAGCTTTATCAGATGTGAGTTACACACTAATGCTGCAAACTCTTAAGATGAGCCTGGCAAATGTCATACATAGTATCATGAGTAACTTCTTGTTAAAGTTTCTGAAAGCTACCCTTAAACTTGCCAGTCTTGTGTTTTCTGCAGCAATTATTTTGTTGGTGTGTACTGTAAGAGATATGCTAAGAACTGTGCTCACCCTGAGGTCCTTCTCTTTCAGGGTGATTTGCACTCCTCTGTTCCCTAACTCTGTTTCCAGCTACTTTTTGTCCTTTCCCCAATGTTCATAGTTTTGCATTTGCTGGGGGTTATATTCTGGTAGTCACCTGTCATACCTATCATGTAGCTTGTTTGTATTATTATTATAATCATAACTAAGTGCTAAACCCACAAGGGTCATAATGCAGCTTGTTTGGATACATTTGTAGTATTTCCTGTTTGTATTCTCCATATTAGATTCATGTGTTTGCATGTACTTGCCTGTATATGGTTGCAGAGGTTGAGTCACAGCTCCAGGCCCTGCCAGGAGCATATACATATATGCATCCGCACATACAAGAGACCGAGTGTACAAGTAAGGGGGTTTAACGTTTAATATTAACACCATTTGCTCTAAGGTGTCCACATGTACATGAACATGTATGTAATAATAATAATAATGGGAGAGTGCTAAACCTGTAGGATTATACAGTGCATGGGAAGGGGGGGATTTTGGAAGGTATTCAGGCTAAATTCAGGGAACTGGAGCACAGGTCCAATTCCCTAGATCAAGAGCCCCTCACCAACATCAAGGAACCTCCCTTAAGAGGTACATGAACATATATCATTATAATCACAACCAAGCGCTAAACCCATAAGGGTCATATATATAGCACTGCTCACGAACACAAACTTTTGTCATATGTATAGTTTATGCTTTTCAACAGAGGTGCCTTGATGCTGATAAAAGCTTCTTGATCTCAGGAACTAACTCTGCCACCCCTTACCTTGTAATAACCATGATTACCCTTTCATTTCCCATGCACTGTGACCCTTATGTGTTTAGCTCTTCTTGATTATAATACATGATACAGTAGGAAATAATTAAAAGACATAATCATCAATACATTTTAATATAGTACTTCAACTCTTTCAGTTTTGTTTATCAAGAGTATCAAAATTAAATCAAATATTTAATACAGTAACTTCTTGTATGCAAATGAACAAAATAACAGCAATACAATATTCATCATTACTATCAGACAGTATGAGAACAAATAAACAGAAGCAGATATCAGATCCACTTTGGAAAATGTGCTGTATTTCCTATAATGGTTCAAACTTGTAAGTAGTTGCAAGTGATGTTTGTACCAGGTGGTGCAAACATCACTTGTGTCACCCTAAGTTATTTTCATATTTTGTGATACAAATAGCTTACTCACGTTTGAGCTTAAATAATAAAAACTGATGTCACTTCACAATTAACTGGACTAGTTTTACCCAAAGTGGAACTTGTAGTTTTTAAAGATCACATCACATTAATACCAAGAATATACTCACTCAAAAAATGCCCAAGTCTTCCATTTATAGTGTCACCTCAATCTGTATATTCCCACTAGTAATTCACTATACTGTACTGTATAGTGCAATGGCTTCACTCCATATCTCAAGATAAAAACAAGTGAAGAATCTACAGGCCCTTTTATTTTTAATGAATTCATATAGGAACAAAATATCATGTAGACAGTCTTAAACTCTTCATTAACAGAGTCTCCATTATGCATATATTAAGTATAAAAAGATATTTAAATGTCTGCTTAAATTAGAGGTGCTATCACAGCATATTACGTACAAATCTATTTACTAGTAAAAATCTATTGCCTGATTTCATACATTCCATATCCAATATTTCTCATTCAAAAAAAAAAAAAAATATAAGTTTACTAAATATATTTACAAACATTCAGATTTTGAACCATTCTATTATAATCATGCTGACACACTACACAAATGTACAAGTTAGACATGAATAAAATGTTAAGCATGCACTGTAACTTTGTCACAATAACAAGCTTAATAAAGTTCAGAAAGTGGTGTGTGAAAAGTGTGCCATTTTCATCACTTTAACAATGTGTGCAAAGATATACACGTATTGTTTACTGACACTGAAATCTAACCATTTTTTTTAAGGTCAACAGCTAAGTGAATATTACAGTACTAAAGAAAATTAACCAAAGGAACATTAGTGAGCAACACTAATCATTCAATTTATTCATTCCATAAACAAATATTTATTCATACAATGTACAAAATTGCAAGTAGCAGAGACTTATTGATGAGAAAGATGTATGCACAGCACTTAGGTATTTTAAATGTCGATAAAAAAAGATACCAGTGTTGTACGTGTCATTCTCATCAATTTGTCAGTATTGTACGTCATTTATATTATGACGGCTGAGACTCACTGACAGAGGCAGCTTCAATAGTTTCATATAAGAGGGACTAAGGGGAGGCAGTCTGACTGGAAGAGGAAGCAACAGGGGGCATTAATTTTATCTGGGGGAGAGGGAGAGTTGGGAGACTGATGGAATTTTGGAGGGCTTCAGGTCCCACATTGGTGCTGCCCCACTTGTTGACCTTCATACAACTTATGATGTCAAATCTTTCATATTCTCTTAATGCAAAAATATTTACATGGATTTTTCTTAGGTATTTAGTCCAATTTAAACATACATTGCCAACACAAAATATCAAGAAAAAATTGACTAAGTTTTGCAAAAAACTATACTTATTCTATAAGCATTGATAATAGCAAAATCTTTAAAATACTTTCAAACATTATATTCTGTTGTAAAATAGTAGACATATGCTAGCATCTTATCAGTGCAATAATGTTACTTTCAAAATCTGTGAAAAATTATGGTGAATACAATGCAAGATGCAATAAGATCATAAGAAACAAGTGATATCTTAATATGCAACATCAACACTGTGAATGGTTATAAAATCCCCAGGACTTTTGTGATTTCTCAATTACAATCATACGAGACTGATACATGACAAAAAACCTTGGCATTTTATTACCATTTACTGTGGCTATATTACATAGTGCTGGATATACATACATCATTAAATATGTAGTTTAAGTGACCAATCATCCCTTCAAAGAAGTGTTCTTTATATATATATATTATGCAGCTTGGTAACACTCCTATCATTAGATTATAATGAGGGAATCATAATACAATGGACAAGCACTTCCCAATGGATATAATCATAATATAGTGGAAGCATGCATTAAATGCCTTTAGTGGCTATGGAATATGTGCAGCAAATGCCTATACAATGATGCAGTCTAACAATTCTGTGTAACTGGTCTGTATAACACACATTGTAAGAATTTTTTTAATCATTCAGAAAGCTTGATTAAAAACAATTTGTTTGGTAATCTTGTCATATAATTCTAATAATACTGCAAATTATTTATCTCAATTCGAGATAATCTACAAGCATGCTTATCAGTATACTGAGTAATAGTAATTGCATAATTAACAAGGTTATATAAACAATTAAACTGCAAAAGAAAACATAATGAGAAAGATTTTAAAATTTCAGCAAAAACATTTTGGTAGGGTGGATTAATGCTGCCATTGTGAATCATGATAAATACAAGTAAAACAAATTATTTCACATACACCCTTTAATTTACAAGTGTTAATACTGTACAAGTGAATTTTGAGTTATAAAATAACTATCAACAGTTTTACAGAAATAGGGACACTGGTGGTTTGTCCACCTAACATTCTGTAACATATTAAGTCGTCAGAATTTTTTTTTTTGCCCAGATTTGGTATTCACAGTGCCTCTAGGAAAGTAGCCCCATAAATAATAGTTCAAGTACAGTATAACAGTAAAAACTATTTAGACATAATTATCTCAACAGAGGCTACCTATGCATGTCCCTCATCAGACACTGCAGTACAGAACAGTGTGTTACCAACACACGGCAGCAACCATTGTTATGACTGCTCAAAAATAAGAAAGTTGTAATTCAAATTGCAATGAGAAAATATTTCAACTCAAATATAAGAAAGTGGGCTACTGTATATAATCATAATGCTTTAAATGGACAGAATCACCTTCATTAAAAACTCAACTCAGTTCACAGATGATGAGCAATTTGGAAAGAAAACCTAACGTTTTTCAGGCCATCCTGGATTGCTATCACTGATCATTATCCAGGACAGTCCAAAATGTCGTAAAAAGTTACCTTTCTAAAGTCGTGGATGAGTTGTCACATCTTCCAGCTATAGTATTGTGACTTTTATTCTTCAAACCTGCTTGGTGATTGTATTACTGACTAAATCTGTCTTAGGTCACACAATGCTACTACTGCTATGCTCAGTAACATCTCACTCAGATAAGGATATCTTCATCACAAACACAATACAGTGTAGTATAAACATACTCTGCAGCATATATCTTAAACTTCTCAAAGGCACAGCTTTTACTTCTTAGTACACTGCTGCCAGGCAAGGCCACAAACCATTGCACCTATTACGTAGATGCTCACCTGAAAAGCAGCACACATTACTTGTGACATTTATGAAGGGTGCAAATAACAAAAGTGTATAAAGGTAGAAAGTTGAAAGTGAACATAGAAAAGAGTAAGGTGATGAGGGTATCAAATGATTTAGATAAAAAAAAAATTGGATATCAAATTGGAGAGGAGGAGTATGGAAGAAGTGAATGTTTTCAGATATTTGGGAGTTGATGTGTCAGCGGATGGATGTATGAAGGATGAAGTTAACCATAGAATTAATGAAGAAAAAATGGTGAGTGGTGCATTGAGGTATATGTGGAGACAAAAAACATTATCTATGGAGGCAAAGAAGGGAATGTATGAAAGTATAGTGGTACCAACACTCTTATATGGGTGTGAAGCTTGAGTTGTAAATGCTGCAGCGAGGAAGCGGTTGGAGGCAGTGGAGATGTCCTGTCTAAGGGCAATGTGTGGTGTAAATATTATGCAGAGAATTCGGAGTGTGGAAATTAGGAGAAGGTGTGGAGTTAATAAAAGCATTAGTCAGAAGGCTGAAGAGGGGTTGTTGAGGTGGTTTGGTCATTTAAAGAGAATGGATCAAAGTAGAATGACATGGAGAGCGTATAAATCTGTAGGGAAAGGAAGGCAGGGTAGGGGTCATCCTCGAAAAAGTTGGAGGGAGGGGCTTGGACTTTCAGCAAGCATGCGTGAGTATGTTAGATAGGAGTGAATGGAGACAAACTTTCATTTTTTCTTTTGGGCCACTCCGCCTCGGTGGGATACGGCCAGTGTGCTGAAAGAAAGAAAGAATGGAGAAAAATGGTATTTGGGACCTGACGAGCTTGTGGAGTGTAAGCAGGGTAATATTTCGTTAAGGGATTCATGGAAACCGGTTATTTTTATATAGCCAGACTTGAGTACTGGAAATGGGAAGTACAATGACTGCACTTTAAAGGAGGGGTTTAGGATATTGGCAGTTTGGAGGGGTATGCTGTGTATCTTTACACATATATGCTTCTAAACTGTTGTGTTCGGGGCACCTCTGCAAAAACCTTGATTATGTATGAGTGAGGTGAAAGTGTTGAATGATGAAAGTATTTTCTTTCTTTTGGGTCACCCTGCCTCGGTGGGAGATGGCCAACTTGTTAAAAAAAAAAATAACAAGAATGTACATCAATAAATCTAAACATATATGGTATAAAATACCAACAAGATGAAGAATTAGAGATGTGTGCAACATCTGGGTATGTCTATTTGTAGACGTTTTGCCAACAAGTGGCTTTATCAATATAAAGGACATAATATGAAGAATTAGTATAAACAAAAGATGAGGTAATGAGTCCCTCAGCCTTGAAGTTGGCAAAGAGCACCATAGCTCCGTAGCTCCATGACTGTGCTTTGGTTCCGTCAAGACTACGGTGCTCTTCACCTGCTGCAACTTTGAGGAGGATAAACAAGAACTTGTGCATTTACCATATTCCATATTATTATTGTTGTGCTTTTATACAACTGCATAAGCAAAGCTCACACTCAGGCACAACTACCCATGATAAAAACTTACCCTTGGTAAGTGTATTTTACACCAATGAGTCAACAACTTGTGTCATGATAGACATGCACTACTGTGTACAATATGCTACTCATAAGTTTGACAACTTCTCCAAAGAAAAGAATAGCTTAATATAGAACAGAGCGATTATTATTACAATCAAAGCTCAGAGTTAAACCTATAAGGGTTGTACAGCTCTGCAGGGTAGGATGTGCTAGATATTCTTCACTCTCACTAGATCAGAGACTAGTGAGAGTGAAGAATATCTCAGAAGCAAAATCAGTAAGGGAAGTATGGAGTGCTAAAGGGGAAGTATAACTACAGAGATAAATACTGTACATCAGTGACATTTATATAAGCATCTACATTCACTTTTCACACAAATGAAAATATTTTAAAAGAAAGATTTCCAACAGAAGACACTTACCCCTATTCCCAAGACAATGAATATTATAATGCGAACATTCTTCCACCAAAGGCTTCTGGATAGTGTACGGCTTGTAGTCTTGAAGGTAACAGCCTGAAAAAATAAAGATGTAAATTATCCTTAAGATGTCCTCAACCCTTCCAGGTGTTTCCCCGTCATTATTACTTGTTGCAAATGCAAGTATTATTATGATAATGATACACAATACTGTACTGACAAGGGGCTAGTAACCCCTTCTCCCAAATAAATTACTAAATGTAAAAAGAAGATAAACATTTTAGTGCTTTCTCCTTTTTTGGGTTACCCTGCCTGGGCGGCAGACGACCAGTGTGCCGAGAGAAAAAATACAATACTGACAAGTAGAGGAGTAAGACAGTTAAGGAATCTTTATTTCTGAAACATTTTGCCTACACAGCAATGTTCTGTCAGCTAAATACAGAGGTGATTGGAAACAACAACAGCAGTGGGTAGGCAAGGACAAATAGGAAGTACACCTCTTGCACTCGGAAGATGGAAGATCAAGCCTCCAACACATCACACTCTGAATGACCCATGTGGGTTTAGTGCTTAACATGAATTATTATATTAAGTGGAAAGGCAAAGATGATGTGATCAGTCCCTCAACTATGAAGTCATAGTATTGTTCAAGACTATGGAGCTGAATCAAAGACGAGAGACTCACCACCTCAAAATTACAAGGCTAATGGACAGATCACATCTTTATCTCTCCGTTGCTGACTTCATATTAACTCACTTCTGTACTATTTGACTGAAGATGTCTACTGTGTAAATGCAGTGTTTCAGAAATAAAAACATTTTAAGCATGTATCGCATTTTGCAGCTTATAAGATGCATTTTTTTCCATAAAATATCTCCAAAAACCACCCTACGTCTTATAAACTGAAGGTCAATGACAGGAGCTATAAGGCTGGGGTGTGGGGTGGGATGTAGCTCTCCCAGTTACGTTCGATGCCGATTCATTGAAACTAAAACAAGTCTTATAAGCCGCGATATACGGTATATGAATAATGTATACAGTGGAACCTTGGTTTTCATATGCCCTAGTTTGTATGTAAAACTATAGTTATTCTCCATTGAATGTATTTTTTGTTAATATTTTTGGGTGTCTGGAACGGAGTATTTGCATTTACATTATTTCTTATGGGAAATAGTATTGCTTTTGTTTTCGTACAATTCAGTTGATCGTCAGACTTTTTCGAACGGATTAATCATGAAAACCGAGGTTCCACTGTAATTATACAAAACAACTAAGAGTGGAAATATGAGAAACAATGTACTGCAAATGCATAATAATTAAAAAAATTGTATTCAAGGGTTAAGACATTAAACTGGTTGTAAATTATTTTATTATAAAAGAGACAAAAATACTACGGAAATACAAAGTTAAAAAATTGAATAAAAAAAAAACTAATGGAACTAGCTTGAAACTTATTTTAAAATTATGAGCATCATGAGGTGTGGTCACACACCAGCCCATGGGGGTGTTGACCCCTGAAACCCTCTCTAGATATACTCAAGGTATTAATCTTTAACATACATCTGATATAAATAACAAGGTTAAATATTATTAAGGAAACCCTTTCAAGGAGCTGCCTTGATGCTGCTCAAGGGCTCTTGATCTAAGCAACTGGAGCTACCTTTCCCTTCTCTAGATCAAACCTGATTACCTCCCAATTCACAGTCATTCAATATATTTTTTTTTTTTTTCAACAAACCGGCCGTATCCCACCAAGGCAGGGTGGCCCAAAAAGAAAAACAAAGTTTCTCTTTTTAAATTTAGTAATTTATACGGGAGAAGGGGTTACTAGCCCCTTGCTCCCGGCATTTTAGTCGCCTCTTACAACACGCATGGCTTACGGAGGAAGAATTCTGTTCCACTTCCCCATGGATGATGATAATGAATAAACAGAAGGATGTACATGAGGTTCAAACCATGGTGCCAAAATTGACAAGTCCATCATTCAACTGTTTAGGCTACAGAGCTTCTAACAGAAGCCCTGTAGAACCAATGTTCAAGCCTCCCATCCATCCTTCTGTTTATTCTGACAGTTGTTTATTGGATTTAATAATAATAATGAAGCCTAACAAATTTATATGACAAAAGTAAATGTTCATCATGAAGATATACTGTAATACAGTGGACCCCCGGTTTGCGATATTATTTCATTCCAGAAGTATGTTCAGGCGCCAGTACTGAACGAATTTGTTCCCATAAGGAATATTGTGAAGTAGATTAGTCCATTTCAGACCCCCAAACATACACATACAAACACACTTACATAAATACACTTACATAATTGGTCGCACTGGGAGCTGATCGTAAAGCGGGGGTGTACTGTATTACAGAGTAATTAATGCAGATGAACTTTCAGCAACAAGATGTACAGTATATCCTTGAGTATACCTGGAGAGGGTTTTGGGGGTCGAAGTCCCCGTGGCATGGTCTGTGACCAGGCCTCATGGTGGATCAGGGCCTGATCAACCAGGCTGTTACTGTTGGCAGCATGCAACCCGATGTATGAACATCCTGGCTAGTCAGGTACTGACTTTAGGTGCCTGTCCAACACCTTCTTCAAGACACCCAGTACATTACAAGTTCTTACCGAATTGTTGAGGTTCTCAGTCTTATTAATCAACAGTTCAAGTCTCTCTCCTCTACATGCCAGGTTCTCTGAAAAATAAATTAACAATGTTAAGTGATATGAAATCATTTTCACAATTTTTTTAATACACTGGCTATCTCCCACCATGATATATTTTTTTCACTTACCATTTAAGGGAAAGCTGCAATTAGCACTGAAAGCCTACTATATGCATGTCTCACCAAAACTACTTGCTTTATCATGACTATTTTGAAAGTTTAAGTAACTCAACCCCAGCTACAAGTGGGTGAGATAAGTACAGTATAATACAGTACTTGCATTCCCTTTAAGGAAGGTGACTTCAAGCTGGTGACTGGCTCTCGATCTGAGGAACTGTAATTACCCTTCCTTTCTTCAGATCAAAAACTGATTACTCCCTACACTTCCCATTCTCCAAGCACCGTATTACCCCTTCGAGTTTAGCACTTCCTCATGAATATATTGATACTTGTACTTCAGTTCTACTATGTCGACCTCAAAAAATGGAGATCACCAGCAGCTACCTCAGTGAAGCAATCTAATGCTGCAATATCTAACTCCCCCCCAAAAAATACACATATCATTGTTCAATAAAAGAGTATCCTCTCTGTCAGATACTATAAATGCAATAATTTTTTTTTCAACAAACTTACTGTCTTCCACCAAGGCAGGGTGGGAATTAAATACTTTGAAATACAGTAGTAATCTATAAAGGAGTAATTTCTGGCATAGTTTCTTTACACATAGGTCATATCCCACCAATGTAGAGTAACCCAAGGAAATGCATACATCATCATTCATTAAATTACTGTCTTACCAGAAGCGGGCAGACATTCCAACTCAAATGACCTGTTGGCTGCAAAATTCCCATCTATCCTTCAGAGTGCAGACTTTTTTTCCACTTCCAGGACTAAAGTCCAGTTAACTGGTTTCCCTGAATTCCTACTTTTTTTTTTTTTAAGGACAACAGCCATCTCCCACTAAGGCAAGGCAACCTGAAATAGAGGATTCTTCGTTTTTACATTTAGTAACTTGTACAGAGGGTACTAGCCCCTTGCTCCTGGCATTTTCGTTTCCTCTTACAACATGCATGGCAGCTTATGGAGGAAGAATTCTTCTCCACTTCCCCATGAGGTTCATTAATGTTACATTGCTCAAATATTGTACATACATGGAACAATGCATCTGTGGTGGTGTAGAGTGCAGCAAACTTCTTCCCCCAAAGCACTGCTCACATACTTAGTCTTTCATTACTACAATAATTTACTTTGACCTTACAAGTACAAACAAATAGAGTGCAGCATAGGTAGTGTATATACATTTTACTAACATATTAGCCATTTCCCCACCTAGGAAGGATGATCTTATGAAGGAAAACACTTTCACCATCATTCATTTCCTGTCTTATATTTTATGCCAATTTTTTTTTTCAACATGCCAGCCATCTCTCACCAAGGCAGGATGACCCAAAAAAGAAAAACACTTTCACCATCATTCACACATAATCAGTGTCTTCACAGAGGTGCCCAAATATGACAGTTTGGGTATCACTCCAAACAGCCAAATATCTGCTATAGTATACAGTACAATACTACTAACAGTAAATTGAAATTTGAACTATATTTAAAATCTGAACAATCTCCAAGAACACTTCAACTCACCAATATTCTTCACGAGAATATCCTTCACATCACTCACTTCACCTTGCAGACGAGAGATCTTGTCAATATCTCGTGACTCTGTGTAATGTTTCATCTGACTAGCAAGAACCTGAAAAGAATCACATTGTACTCGAAATTTGTTAGAGGAGTCATTTTTACGTCAGTTAGATATCTGATCATATTACAGTATGAAAACTTTTGTGGGATAAAGTAAAATACTCATGTAAAATTCAATTAGCATAAAAATTTAAATACATAACATGAATCATGACTGCTGAGAATATCATGTGAATAGTGTGGGCAAGTGGGATTTAAGGAGCACTTAGACTTATTAGCCTTGTGTGATAGAATACACAGCTGACCTGGAAATTAATATACAAATACTATACAACTCCTCCTCATTCAACACACTCAGGGAATGCTCAATTTCACATGTTTATATCTAAAAGCAGTTTTACGAATCAATGCAATTAAAGATTTTCCTCTTATTTTTGTATTTTTTCTTGCTAAGTTGATATAAGCTATTGTCAAATCTGGCAACAACATAACAGTTTTACAGGGTTTCAATTTTACAGTTTATAAAAGTGTAGAGAAATGTACTCATGTTGATCAACTGCATCAGTTTTTTGTCTTATCTGTATTTTAGGGAAACAAAATCTGCCTTTGGCTGCCTTCTTAGTCCATCAAGATGTAATTTTTGCTAGTTTTTTTTCACTTCAACGTACAATTCATTAATAAAGTACATTATACGCTTCTGATGAGGCCATGAAGTTTGTACACAAACTTCAAGTATAAAACAGATAAAAACAATCTTTCAAGGAGTATAAAAACACAAAATAAATCATTATACAATGACATGATGAAAATATCCAAAAGCATTTATCTGCTAGAGGAAAATCATGACAGCCATTACCTATCCTAGAGTAGCAATGCTTCTATAATTATTAAAACTAGTCTTGTAGATAAATGATTCAGAGACACATGTGCAACACTTGGGTATCTTTACTGAGGAAAAGTTTTGCCACACAGTGGCTTCATCAGTCCTATTGAAGAAGAATGGTGAAGATCAGAAGGAGTTTGAGGTAAGCAAGATTGATGGACTGACTACATCAACTCCAGGCTGATGGACTGATTACCACAAACTCCTGATTTTCACCATTCTGCTTTGTACTGGACTGATGAAGCCACTGAGTGGTGAAATGTTTCCACAATAAACATAACCAAGTGTTGCACATGTGTCTAATTGATCAAAACTAGACTTACAGCATGAATAAATAACAGCATCAACACTTGGTCTTAAAGAATAAAAAAGGCACAATACCGTGACTGGAACAATACACAAACATGTTTCGGTCCAACCCGAACCATTAACATCATAAGCTAGTTTCAAGTATGTGGGTTATTTGTGTATTTTAGTCTTCTAATTACCTGAGCAAATTCACTGTTCATTGCATACGGTAAAGCAGCATGGATCCGAGGCCCGTATGTGATCTGGAACCTCTGTTTCACATCCTCCAGAAACAAGAAAGCTCGCTGCCTCTCAAACTCCTGTTGAAATAAATTTACAATTATACATATGAACACAAAATACTACTGTATTTAACTCGCAAATGTCTTATTACAGTTAATAATGCTGTATGTGTATTTATATTGTACAGCCTCTCCTCACTTAACAACAGAGTTCCATTCCTAAGATCACGTCAGTAAAAGAATTTGTCACTAAGTGAGGAGCATACTATAATGGCAGTGGGTTTGTGTCAACCATCTTTGATATTGTTTTAATGTCACCTTTGCACCATTTATAACATTTCTGGTATATTTTTAAATGTTTATACAGTACCGTACTGTATATTGTAATAAACAGAATGGAGGAAATCAGCTCTAATATAAATTATTTAGGTATGAATACTGGTCAGAGAGCTCGTAAGTCCGAGTTGTTGGCAAATGAGTACATCATTAACCCTTTGAGGGTCGACAGGCCCTCTCCGAAACTCGTTCTCAGGGTCGGCCAAATTTAAAAAAAAAAAAAAATTATTTTCTCTTATGAAAAGATAGAGAATCTTTTCCCGATCATAACGACACCAAAAGTTTGAAATTTGATAGAAAACTTACGGAATTATGCTCTCGCAAAGTTAGCGGTCTCGGCGATGTTTACGGATCGGCGATTTTGCCCACTTGAGCCCCATTTTCGGCCAATTTCACTGTACTAGTCGACAAAAAACATGAATATTTCGCTAGAACTCTCCATTTTTTCTATCGAATGGGTGCAAGAAACCACCCATTTATAAATTCAACTATCCAGTACAGTGGTCAGAATTTAGCAATTTTGCCAATTCACACAAATTTCAAAAGATGCCAATTTCGGAATAGGGTCCAGAATAAACAAGAAAGACATTCCTGGCACTAAAATGACATTTCCTCTAGTCATTAGTCACGTCTCAAGGCCCCTCTTATATTCTTTTGCTTTCCACTTTGAATTTTTATTCTCACAAAAAATATAAGATTTACTGTTATGCAGACTACTGCATTAGTGTAAAAAATGGTATAAATATTATTGGTGCACTTGTGAAAGAATATTAGACTCACCAGTTGACGTGTATTGCACGCTTGGCACGATTTGTTTACTTTTGAAGTTTGGTAAAAATCGAACATTTCTGCTACTTTGAGCTCAATTTCAAGGCACCTTTCATTGTAAAACCAGTCAAAATCATCTCAATTTCAGTAATATGTCTTCCATTCTATAAAATGAGACCAAGAAAACTAGAATACAACAATAAATACTATACGAAAATACACTGCAAAGTTGCTGATTTATTAACAAAAATGGAAAAAGTTTTTTTTTTCTCATTATGCACCGTGTGCTGCAGGATTTTTTTTAGACTGTGCACACTGACCACATAGACCCATTCTTTCATATGAAGGCCTACCAGCTTTCTCCCCACTAGATTTGAGGTCGCTAGAATTTATGAGTACTAGTACGTCAAAAACCCCTACGCGTAAGACGTACTAGTACGACGAAAACCCTCAAAGGGTTAAGTGAGGAGAGGCTGTATATATATTACTTAATTTTAAAAGAAAAACTTTTGTTTTTCTTTTTAGGTCACCCTGGCTGGTGGGATATGACTGGTTCATTGAAAAAAATATATATATACGTATATCTTTTCTTTCCTTCAATGTACCAGCTGCATCCCACCGAGGTGGGGTGGCCCAAAAGGAAAAACGAAAGTTTCTCCTTTCAAATTGAGTAATATATACAGGAGAAGGGGTTACTAGCCCCTTGCTACCGGCATTTTAGTCGCCTCTTACAACATGCATGGCTTACGGAGGAAGAATTCTGGTCCACTTCCCCATGGAGACGGCCGACTTGTTAAAATACATATTTTTTTATTTTTTTTTTTTTCAACAAGTCGGCCGTCTCCCACCGAGGCAGGGTGACCCAAAAAAGAAAGAAAATCCCCAAAAAGAAAATACTTTCATCATCATTCAACACTTTCACCACACAAGCACATTATCACTGTTTTTGCAGAGGTGCTCAGAATACAACAGTTTAGAAGCATACACATATAAAGATACACAACATATCCCTCCAAACTGCCAATATCCCAAACCCCTCCTTTAAAGTGCAGGCATTGTACTTCCCATTTCCAGAACTCAAGTCCGACTATATGAAAATAACCGGTTTCCCTGAATCCCTTCACTAAATATTACCCTGCTCACACTCCAACAGATCGTCAGGTCCCAAGTACCATTCGTCTCCATTCACTTCTATCTAACACGCTCACGCACGCTTGCTGGAAGTCCAAGCCCTTTGCCCACAAAACCTCCTTTACCCCCTCTCTCCAACCCTTTCGAGGACGACCCCTACCCCGCCTTCCTTCCCCTATAGATTTATATGCTTTCCATGTCATTCTACTTTGATCCATTCTCTCTAAATGACCAAACCACCTCAACAACCCCTCTTCTGCCCTCTGACTAATACTTTTATTAACTCCACACCTTTTCCAAATTTCCACACTCCGAATTTTCTGCATAATATTTACACCACACATTGCCCTTAAACAGGACCTCTCCAATGCCTCCAACCGTCTCCTCGCTGCTGCATTTACCACCCAAGCTTCACACCCATATAAGAGTGTTGGTACTACTATACTTTCATACATTCCCTTCTTTGCCTCCATAGATAACGTTTTTTAACTCCACATATGCCTCAACGCACCACTCACCTTTTTTCCCTCATCAATTCTATGATTAACCTCATCCTTCATAAATCCATCCACCGACACGTCAACTCCCAAGTATCTGAAAACATTCACTTCTTCCATACTCCTCCTCCCCAATTTGATATCCAATTTTTCTTTATCTAAATCATTTGACACCCTCGTCACCTTACTCTTTTCTATGTTCACTTTCAACTTTCTACCTTTACACACATTCCCAAACTCATCCACTAACCTTTGCAATTTTTCTTTAGAATCTCCCATAAGCACAGTATCATCAGCAAAAAGTAACTGTGTCAATTCCCATTTTGAATTTGATTCCCCAAAATTTAATCCCACTCCTCTCCCGAACACCCTAGCATTTACTTCCTTTACAACCCCATCTATAAATATATTAAACAACCATGGTGACATTACACATCCCTGTCTAAGACCTACTTTTACCGGGAAGTAGTCTCCCTCTCTTCTACAAACCCTAACCTGAGCCTCACTATCCTCATAAAAACTCTTTACAGCATTTAATAACTTACCACCTATTCCATATACTTGCAACATCTGCCACATTGCTCCTCTATCCACTCTATCATATGCCTTTTCTAAATCCATAAATGCAATAAAAACTTCCCTACCTTTATCTAAATACTGTTCACATATATGCTTCAATGTAAACACTTGATCTACACATCCCCTACCCACTCTGAAACCTCCCTGCTCATCCGCAATCCTACATTCTGTCTTACCTCTAGTTCTCTCAATTATAACCCTACCGTACACTTTTCCTGGTATACTCAGTAAACTTATTCCTCTATAATTTTTACAGTCTCTTTTGTCCCCTTTCCCTTTATATAAAAGGACTATACATGCTCTCTGCCAATCCCTAGGTACCTTCCCCTCTTTCATACATTTATTAAACAAAAGTACCAACCACTCCAACACTATATCCCCCCCTGCTTTTAACATTTCTGTCATGATCCCATCAGTTCCAGCTGCTTTACCCCCTTTCATTTTACGTAATGCCTCACGTACCTCCCCCACACTTACATTCTGCTCTTCTTCACTCCTAAAAGATGGTATACCTCCCTGACCAGTGCATGAAATTACTGCCTCGGTTTCTTCCTTAACATTTAAAAGTTCCTCAAAATATTCTCGCCATCTACCTAATACCTCCATCTCCCCATCTACTAACTCCCCTACTCTGTTTTTAACTGACAAATCCATACTTTCCCTAGGCTTTCTTAACTTGTTTAACTCACTCCAAAAATTTTTCTTATTTTCATTAAAATTTCTTGACAGTGCCTCTCCCACTCTATCATCTGCTCTCCTTTTGCACTCTCTCACCACTCTCTTCACCTTTCTTTTACTCTCCATATACTCTGCTCTTCTTATAACACTTCTGCTTTGTAAAAACCTCTCATAAGCTACCTTTTTCTCTTTTATCACACCCTTTACTTCATCATTCCACCAATCACTCCTACCATCCGACTTACGACCGAGTTCGGTTCCGAGAAACCAGTCGTAAGTCGAACTTTACTACTGAATATCAACAAAACATTTTTGTAATGACTATTTTATTGTTTTATTTTGGTATTTCATGTTTTACTTTACTTTTTATGTTGTTAGTACTGTATTATATACTGTAAGGTTTAGGATAAACACTTTGTACAACACAAATAGTTGTTTATTTCCCAGAAATTTGCCATAAAAAACACGGTCGTAAGTCGAGTGGTCGTAAGTAGAGCAGGTCGTAAGTCGGATGGTAGGTGTATATATATACGTATATGTATATATATATGTGTATATATATATATACATGTATATATATATATATACGTATATCCTAGGTAGTAGGTTGGTAGACAGAACCGCCCAGGGAAGTACTACCATCCTGCCAAGTGAGTGTAAACGAAAGCCTGTAATTGTTCTACATGTTGGTAGGATTGCTGGTGTCCTTTTTTCTGTCTCATAAACATGCAAGATTTTCAGGTAAGTCTTGCTACTTCTACTTACACTTAGGTCACACTACACATACATGCACAAGCATATATATACACACCCCTTTGGGTTTTCTTCTACTTTCTTTCTAGTTCCAAGGGGAAGTGGAACAGAATTCTTCCTCCGTAAGCCATGCGTGTTGTAAGAGGCGACGAAAATGCTGGGAGCAAGGGGCTAGTAACCCCTTCTCCCGTATAAATTACTAAATTTAAAAGAGAAACTTTTGTTTTTCTTTTTGGGTCACCCTGCCTTGGTGGGATACGGCCGGTGTGTTGAAAGAAAGATATACATGTATGACACTTAAAACTTCTTAACACTATACAAGTAATAATGCATTTACAACATTTTTAAGCTTAAAGGAAAAAGTAAAATCAATCTGATTGTAAATGAAACACTCATATACCAATTTAAATTTCAGTAACATCACTATTATGTACACATTTAACATAACATTAGCACACACTGACACTACAGCTTATGTGATAAAAAAAGTATATATGCTCTGGTTCATACACTACTTAAAAAAGTGATATATTTGTAATATATGTAAATAAAACACAATACCAGGGCTAGCACAGCAGTACTGCCCTACCTGGCTTTATGTCATTTTAGCCTATGTCAAATTCACTTTTACACCACTTTTCTAGAGTAATTTCAGTTCAGTGAACATCATGACGTTTGACTTTACGTCACTCAGCGACATTATCTGTCATAATTTTTTAACTGTGTTCATTATTCTTTAAAAAGATATGATTAAAATGTGTTTTTAGTGTTTTTAAAGGTTTAGCAACAATTATATTCTTTCGCAAGTCATTTATGTTAGTTTTACAGTGTTTGTCATCATTTTAAGGAATTACGACCGGGTTACATCACGGCTCTTGGAACCAATTAATGATGTAGGGCAGAGTATGGCTCTATTGCAAAAGGAAAAAATAGAATTAAGAAAAGAAAAACTTAAGAGCCTCTGAAGTGTACGAAACTTCAGAAATGAACTTTGAATTACAACCAAAACAAGAACCTTTGTGCTACATATGCCCATGAAGTTAAAACTATCTGCATTGCTAACTTACATCATCAGTGATGCAAAGGTACACCACACCTTCCTCCGCAACATAGTGAAACAGATATGATGCATGAGAATATGTCAGACGTCCAGACTCCCCGGGAGCAATCTTTGACAAAATCTGCTCCGTCACCTCAGCAAAATTTCCAGCACACGTTGCATACCGGGCGAGGACTGTTGTGCTTCTGGCAATCACACTGTATAGGAGAGGCATTTCTGGAATGTACAAAAGATTTAAATTTAGTTTGTAGAATGCAATTTCATCAAACATTCTGCTATGGTACAAAAGGCATAATAAAATACTTTTCATAAGACACTGCAATTCATGGCATTCATTGTATGTATGTATGTGCATGCACACACACACTCACACACACACACACACACACACACACACACACAGGGAGGGAGTGGACCTAGTAGTGATCAATGAAGAGGCAGAGCCAGGAGCTGTGACTCGACCCCTGCAACGGCAAATAGACGAGTGTACACACGAGAAACTTTTATGAGGTAAAAAGGAATAGCAGAGGGGAGGGGAACTTATGACCATGTTTCACTCCAACTTGGACCACTTACAAAGCCACACTAACAGAAAGGAGAGGAGGCAGTATATATAGCCAGCAGACAGGGCTGGGATAAGAGATAATAGGAAAGGAGGTAGAGAGGTGGTGGTGGTGGTTGTAGTAGTAGTGGAGTCAGTCAAAGACTAAGAAAGAGGAGCACTGCAAGGGAGCTAGGGGCCCACAAAAGGTAGGAACAAAAACATAGAGGGGGGAAAACAAATAAATAAAAGACCAAACACCCAAGGCAGAAGAAAGAAAACCCAAAGGAGAAAGAGGAAGAGGGTGTTCTGAAGTTTGGAGCATATTACAACGTTTTGGAAAAGGAAGGCATCTACAGAGACAAAGCCAGGACTAAGATTCATAAAAGGAAAGTTGTGTATAAGGGAGGATTCAACCAGACGGTGACTGTGAAAGTTAGAAGTTGGGTCGACTGGCCAAAGGGGAAGTGCTAAACCCGCAGGATTATACAGCACCTGTGGCGGAGGGATGGAAGGTATTCAGGCTTAATTCAGGGAACTGGAGCACAGATCTACTTCCCTAGATCAAGAGCCCCTCACCAGCCTCGAGGAACCTTCCTTAAGGGGATGAAGCAGGTATAAATTTGACATTTTGTGTGTAAAATAGTAGGAAATTTTTATTCTTATTTAATTATCAAAAGACAGTGGGAAATTTTTATTCTTGTTTAATTATAAAAAAAAACAAATAATCAAAACTAAGCACTAAACCCACAGGGGTCACACAGTGCTGTACTTTAATTATCATGATAAATTATGTATATGCATCTGTCTTTCATGACTTATGCATTGTATGGCCAGGACAGTAACCATTCAGTTTAGTGTACGCGGAGGCAAATTTGTCAGTGTAATAAACATTTTTTTAACCTTGTAATCACTGGTATTCTCACTTACCAATATAGGTGAGCCTAGAGAAGGAAATACGTTCACCATTATTTATTCAATGGCTGGAACTATAAACATGCTTGTAATAAAAACCTAATAATTATAATAATAATTATAATAATAATAACATTCACTCAGACAAAAACAAATATTTTCTAGTAATATTTATACAATGGTTTTGAGGCTACATATTAGCTTTAGGGATAAACAATGCCATATTATATAGAATTAACCTAGGAAAAGTAAATAAAGTAAAAAGTTGGAAGAGTAAGATACAGGCGAGTAAGTAGAACATAGTTAATCATTTTTATATTTATACGCTGCTTACTCAAAAAAAAAAAAAGGAAAATACTTGCATCTTCAGTAAATTTTCATTTAAAACATGAAATGTTAAACAACCTTTGCAAATGTGTCCAATAATATTACGACCGTGAGCTGTACTGTGAAATTAATGTCAAGGTAAAAGATGGTGAAGGAAAAAACTGTCCTCGACACACGACAGATTACAACTTTTATCACTGTATTTATATCTCCTGTGAGCTGCAGGTCTCACATACACCTAGTAACACAATGGCTCAATATATTACCTAGTATCAGGATAGTTTATCCCAGAATGAGAGGGTAAATCACGAGTAAAACAAGCGAGGAGGACTGAGTGGAGACGTCACTGCTCTTACTTTGTTTACTCCCATTGAATCATATGTTTCTCGTGTCCGGAACCTTCCACTGACTTGAATTTCGTCTCCAATTTAAACCTCTTCCTTCCCTCTGCTTACACACATTAACCAAAAACTAACAAGTAATAAACCCAATATCAATCCACAGAAACAATGCAAATTTTAAATAGCTCTAAATATCGCTAAGAATAGTTAGAAAAGTAATTATTTCGAGTTGATTAAGATGATCAGAGGCTGGGTAGCCTCCTCAACGTCACATGGGACGTCGCTCATTGGTCACCCATCAGAGACCTCCACCAATCATAATTAATCATTACAACACTATAGTAATCATTAAAATATTGCAAATGATCCAGACGGGATCTCTAGTGCGAATTATGGAGCCACAGATAACCTCTCACAAATATAAACACTGCAAGGCACAATATTGCTATTTCTTCCTAAAGCTGTTTCAATATTCCACTTCTTATTATATATATATATATATATATATATATATATATATATATATATATATATATATATTTAATATATATATATATATATATATATATATATATATATATATATATTAATATATATATATATATATATATATATATTTTTTTTTTTTTTTTTTAATCACACTGGCCGATTCCCACCAAGGCAGGGTGGCCCGAAAAAGAAAAACTTTCACCATCATTCACTCCATCACTGTCTTGCCAGAAGGGTGCTTTACACTACAGTTTTTAAACTGCAACATTAACACCCCTCCTTCAGAGTGCAGGCACTGTACTTCCCTGGTGGCTAAAGCTCCCGCTTCACACACGGAGGGCCCGGGTTCGATTCCCGGCGGGTGGAAACATTTCGACACGTTTCCTTACACCTATTGTCCTGTTCACCTAGCAGAAAATAGGTACCTGGGTGTTAGTCGACTGGTGTGGGTCGCATCCTGGGGGACAAGATTAAGGACCCCAATGGAAATAAGTTAGACAGTCCTCGATGACGCACTGACTTTCTTGGGTTATCCTGGGTGGCTAACCCTCCGGGGTTAAAAATCCGAACGAAATCTTATCTTATCTTAAGTCCGGCCTGCCGGTTTCCCTGAACCCCTTCATAAATGTTACTTTGCTCACACTCCAACAGCACGTCAAGTATTAAAAACCATTTGTCTCCATTCACTCCTATCAAACACGCTCACGCATGCCTGCTGGAAGTCCAAGCCCCTCGCACACAAAACCTCACTCCAGATTTAATTCCATTTATTTCCCCCCACCGAAACTCCCCTACCCCCTTCAGCTTTGTTTCGCTTAGGGCCAGGACATCCAACTTCTTTTCATTCATAACATCAGCAATCATCTGTTTTTTGTCATCCGCACTACATCCACGCACATTTAAGCATCCCAGTTTTATAAAGTTTTTCTTCTTCTCTTTTTTAGTAGATGTCTACAGGAGAAGGGGTTACTAGCCCATTGCTCCCGGCATTTTAGTCGCCTCATACGACACGCATGGCTTACGGAGGAAAGATTCTTTTCCACTTCCCCATGGACAATAGAAGAAATAAAGAGGAACAAGAGCTATTTAGAAAAAGGAGAAAAACCTAGATGTATGTATATATATATGCATGTGCGTGTCTGTGAAGTGTGACCAAAGTGTAAGTAGGAGTAGCAAGATATCCCTGTTATCTAGCGTGTTTATGAGACAGAAAAAGAAACCAGCAATCCTACCATCATGCAAAACAGTTACAGGTTTCTGTTTCACAGTCATCTGGCAGGACGGTAGTACTTCCCTGGGTGGTTGCTGTCTACCAACCTACCATATATATATATATATATATAATATATATATATATATATATATATATATATATATATATATATATATATATATATTTTATATATATATATATATATATATATATTATATATATATATATATATATTTATATATAACATATAGGTGAGTACATATAGGTTAACACACACACTATAAAAAATAAAAAAAACTAGTTTGCACTATTCATTAACAAAGACAACAAAAATATTTAATCTCTAAGAGACATTATTAAAGTTATCTTTGTGTATATAAACTAATAACTGTGTCTCCTGGTATATATATCCTGTGATACAGACTAATAACTGTCTCCTGGTATATATACCCTGTGATATAGACTAATAACTGTCTCCTGGTATATATACCCTGTGATACAGACTAATAACTGTTGTGGAAAATTGCATTTATCTGTATGTATAATGATGTACATAACAGTAAATGAACATAGATAATTATTATTTATCAGTTAGACAAGTAGGAATTTGGGACACCTAGGTCGCAAAAATGTCCCCCTTCGATACCTACCACTGTCATATCCACAAGTTGCTCTGGACCTATTAATTAAATGAATTATACATCAGGGATTCTGGTAAATATATAAATTTGTGGACTGTATATTAAAAAATTATTATATATAAATTCACATATACATAACAGAAGGAAAATATATCTTAATATCACTCACCAATTTGACTGGATATTAAGTTGTATCATACTCAGAAAAACCTCACTAACTAAATTTATGAAAACACTGCTGGCCAGAATTATACACAAATCTAGAGCTTATCTGAGGTTCCTGGAGCTGTCTTGTCCAGTCGTCTGATATCTCAAGTTATGCAGGAATGCACATCCAACAATTTCGCCTCCTATTTGAGAGGTGTCAATCCAACTTTAACCTCTAGAGCACGAAAAATTCTTCCCATTATATTACCGTTGTATCCAATTCAAAACCAAGATGGCGAGTCCCCTCATGCGCAGGCGCAGGCTCGGTTTCCCATTTTCCATCACGTAAATTTTATTAAATACAGTATGACCATCTATTTACATATAAATACTGAATTTCTGGAAAATATATACAGTATTTTCCACAACTGTCTCCTGGTATATATACCCTGTGATATAGACTAATAACTGTGTCTCCTGGTATATATACCCTGTGATATAGACTAATAACTGTGTCTCCTGGTATATATACCCTGTGATGTGTTAAACGGTGAATAATATTAAATTTGAGATAAAACAATGCGTCACTAGACTGACCTCAGCGGCAATGGTAAATAAAAGATATATGATAACTCTGATAATAGAACCTAGTAACTAGCCTAGTACTGTCAACCTAGTACTATTAGACTAAGTACTGTCAGACTACTACTACTGTCAGACTACTACTATCAGCCTAGTACTGTCAGCGTAGCACCATCAACTTCATGAACCTTCCGTGTGGTTATTATTATAATCATAACTAAGCGCTAAACCCATAAGGGTCATAGAGCAGCTGTCGGGTGAGAAGCCTCGTTGATCCCCTCTTTCAGTGGAGAGAGCCACACAAGCTGCCAGATTATCCTCCTCTGCACTTAGTTAAGCGCCAGACCGGTGCTCAAACGAGCTCAATACCCACCCACAAGTAAGCATAGAGAGCGGGGGGGTCACACATATATTCCCCCCAGTTTCTACAGTGTATAGTATCTCCACTTCTAGAACCACTTAGACGACCCTATTTCCTAACTCATGGGTTAGATTATGTTTATTATTCATGAGGAGGTGGTAAATTTGTATGGAACTTGGATTTGATTCGAGGAAGGGGAGGGTGGCTTTAATTCCCCTCATCGCCCGGATCCAGAGCTTCACCAGCTGCAGTGGACCAGCTGCACCACCTTGCTCGTTGTCAGCCTTTTTTTGTCTGGAAAATCACAAAACAATGGGTGAAACAATTCACAACCCCATATCAAGACTACAACAATTTACAACTAACCCACCATATCAAGACTACAACAATTTACAACTAACCACCATATCAAGACTACAACAATTTACAACTAACCCACCATATCAAGACTACAACAATTTACAACTAACCCACCATATCAAGACTACAACAATTTACAACTAACCCACCATATCAAGACTACAACAATTTACAACTAACCACCATATCAAGACTACAACAATTTACAACTAACCCACCATATCAAGACTACAACAATTTACAACTAACCCACCATATCAAGACTACAACAATTTACAACTAACCCACCATATCAAGACTACAACATTTACAACTAACCCACCATATCATAGACTACAACAATTTACAACTAACCCACCATATCAAGACTACAACAATTTACAACTAACCCACCATACAAGACTACACAATTTACAACTAACCCACCATATCAAGACTACAACAATTTACAACTAACCCACCATACCATGACTACAACAATTTACAACTAACCCACCATATCAAGACTACAACAATTTACAACTAACCCACCATACCATGACTACAACAATTTACAACTAACCCACCATACCATGACTACAACAATTTACAACTAACCCACCATACCATGACTGCAACAATTTACAACTAACCCACCATACCATGACTACAGCAATTTACAACTAACCCACCATACCATGACTGCAACAATTTACAACTAACCCACCATACCATGACTGCAACAATTTACAACTAACCCACCATACCATGACTACAACAATTTACAACTAACCCACCATACCATGACTGCAACAATTTACAACTAACCCACCATACCATGACTGCTACCTGCTAACCAGGGTTCCGAAGCAGTCGTTGCATGCCATATACATAATTTAATGGTGTTTTAATCCTACCTTCTACACGAGGGTCATAAAGGCTTCATGTCACCCGTTCACCACCAGTCAAGAATACGTAAAAGAGTGATTATAATGAACTATCAGTGGATATACACAGAGAAATGTACACATCTTAATATATATATCCTAACTCTTAGTACCAGAAGCCATAAGGTTGTAATGCAGCTCTATACATCATTGGTAAAGCCTCGTTTAACACACGAAGCAGCAGAGGTTTAAAATATTCCTGTGGCCCGGTGGCTAAAGCTCCCGCTTTACACACGGAGGGCCCGGGTTCGATTCCCGGCGGGTGGAAACATTTCGACACGTTTCCTGACACTATTGTCCTGTTCACCTAGCAGCAAATAGGTACCTGGGTGTTAGTCGACTGGTGTGGGTCGCATCC